CTTTAATCAGTCTGTTATATTTTCGAAAGACAAATTATTCAATTTTTTTTTCTAATTCTATCACTACATTATCTATATTTAACCCTAAGTGGTGGATATGATCGCTGAAGGTAAATCTCGCATGAATTATTTTTAATCTATCAAATTATTTTTAATCTATCAATACTAAATATGTCTTTTTAATTTGATTCGCAGTTGTCATTTCTCAAACCTATACAAACGTCGAAAACGATACGATTGAGGCTATCTATAAATTTCCAATTCACGAAGCTGCGGCGGTATGCTCTTTTGAGGCTGAAATTGATGGTAAAACAAAGGTCAAAGGCATTGTTAGAGAAACGGAGGAGGCTGTAAAAGAATACAACACTGCTATTCAGGTGATTTATCTTTTTACTTAAACTTTTATATTATTTTTACATTTTTACTACTAATTTTTTTTTCCTTTTTATAGGAAGGTCATGGTGCTTTTCTAATGAATAGTCAACTTCCTGATGTGTTTGAATGTATGGTTGGGAATATTCTTCCAAAACAGACCGTAGTCATCAGCATTACTTATGTTGTAAGTAAATAATTCACAACTTTTGGAAATTTGATCAAGCACTCATGTATAATCTTTTTAATAAAATTAGACGGAACTTAAACATGACGCAGAAACTGAGAAAATTCGTTTCGTGCTTCCCACTTCAATTGCTCCAAGATATGGAAGTGGCCTCTCAGGAATTCCTTCGTTTGCAAGCAATTTGCCTCTTGTCAACACTGTTGAACCTACTAATCATTTATCGATTTCCGTTACGTGCCGAATGACATCTTTCATTACAAGTATTGAATCACCATCACATTATATATCTACTGAATTAAATATTGATGGAAACCCAAAAATTTCTAGAGTTACTTTGAATGAGCAGGCAAATTATTTAGAAAAAGATTTCGTGTTAGTCATTAAAAGTCAAGGTCTTGATCAGCCAAGGTAATTTAATACTATTCTTACAATTGATGTTAATCTTTTTCGTAAAATTTTATTAATTCTTTTTTTTTTCTTCGTTTAGAGCATTTGTTGAATATAATCCAGTAACCGAAACGAATTGTGTTATGTTAACCTTGGTTCCAAAATTTGCTATCAATCCGATTTTAACTGAATTGATATTTGTTGTTGATAGGTAAAGTTTATTAAGTATATTCTTATATATACCTTTTATTTCAAACTTAAGAAATGCGTATATTATATCTAGATCTGGCTCTATGCATGGTGCTCCTATTAAAAAGGCTGCTCAGGCGCTTGAATTATTCTTACGATCGCTCCCAGAAGATTCATATTTCAACGTTGTATCATTTGGTAGCAATTATGATTCACTTTTCCCGAAAAGTCAACCTAATTCTCAATCTGCGATATCAGCTGCTCTTTCGCTTGCTCAAAACATGGCTGCAAATTATAATGGAACCGAAGTTTATCAATGTTTGAAATGGGTTTTTGAAAACAAGAGACATGATATGCCAACTGCCGTATTTCTTCTCACTGATGGTAGTGTTTGGAATGTAGATCAAATTGCTGAATTAATTCGATCAAAAGTAGAAGAAAACAAAGACCTTCGACTATTCTCTTTGGGTATCGGAAGTAATGTATCCCATAATTTAGTAGAAACTGTTGCGCGTGCTGGAAAAGGATACGCTCAGTTCGTAACCGATTGTAATGATGGGTTTGAAAAAAAGATTATTGGATTTTTGAAAAATTCGCTCAGACCACCAATTAAAGATTACA